CGCGTCGAATGAGCCTAATTTCATCGAAATCGGAGGTGAGGACCGTATTCTGAATAATTACCTTATAAATTTATGATTAATTATCCTTTTTCTCTTCTACTATACGTACAACCGTTACAATTAGGTTATATTCATGCTAGAAATGAATCCCATAATTTCCACACGCCACATGTTGCCACACGTTAAGTATAAAATTTCTTGAAAAGTTGGTAATACTGACATACTCTACATGCTCGTACTTAACTTTTTACAGTGTCGAGCAGTGTAACACTGTGTCATAGTTGGAACACTTTGTGTACGACACAGTGTTACACTGTGTCATCTGTGTACGTTGTTGGAAAACACCCAATATTATCAGCCCTAAATTTGTCAGAATGTTAAAGCCTTAAACACAATAATCTGTTCGCGTTGCTCGCACTTTTTGCACTCGGCATCTTTTCTTTCTCTCTTTTCAAAACCAAATATATATCTATCTCATTTTAAGTGCAAAAATATTTGGGGATTTCATGCAACGCGAACAGACCTAATGCGAAGGAATAGCGATAGCGATAGGGATAATACAATTTCAACCTATCAGAAAGTGTACATTCCAGTGTATTTGATTTCTGATAGGTCGAAATGGTGTTATTCCTATCGCTATCACTTCTTCGCATTGTGTTTAAAGCCTTATGCTTATGGTTAAGCTTAAGCTGGTTCTACATTAGTCGCATCGCAGCATCGCAAGCGTTGCTGTCCAATAAACATCAAGCTAATTCGACTCTGATTAGACCGCAACGCTTGCGACACTGCGCTGCGATTAATGTAAAACCAGCTTTACGAGCCTCTGTGCGGACCTTAATGCGCTACTTTAGTAATATAGAGCTTTAGTTTATTTTGTCCAGTCTCGTCAGACCACTCGAGCGGATCGGACGTGCGTCATCTCGATTATGCTGGATTTACACTGTATCCAATTTTCGTCGTACGACGCTCTTCAACCAATCAGAAAACAGAATTTCGATGATATGAAGCAAAATCCATCGAAATCCTGTTTTCTGATTGGTTGCAGAGCGTTGTACGACGCAAATCGGATGTAGTGTGAATCCAGCATTAGAGTCCTAGATTTATCAGAGGCGCAACCGGCTTAAGTCAGTATGACAAAGGTGCTAAAGAGAGTACTAAATACGGCCGACATGCTATGAAACTGTCTTTAAACTATGTCAAACAAGATAAGACGTGTAGGATAATGTGAGATAAAATGTATAGGATAAAATAAAATAGAAATATGTCACTAGTACTATAAATGGCTGCCAAGTCACGCAATTGGTCAGATTGCAACAGCGAATCAGAATGCATAACACCGGTTGCGCCTCTCTGATAAATCTAGGACTCTAACCTCGATTAAATTTTTTGAAAAGCGTTGCCGGCTTTGACTGTGCCGTGTATTTCATTTTCCAGTTTCCACAGTCCGTTTATCCGTCTTGGCGCGCGGCCGTGCGGCATAGAAGCGCCGTGGTCGCAGGCATTCAGTGTTTGAAGGGGCGCCTCACCATTTTAATTTTGATTGAAGCTGCGGTCCACTTGACGCTACAAACGCTTCGAAGCGTTTGAGCAACCAATCAGAACAAAGAATTTTACAAATTGACTAATCAAAAACGCTTCGAAACGTTTGTAGCGTCAAATGGACCGCAGCCTGAATCATCCTTTTTGTTCTACTCGCCCGGTTCGAGGTGGCCGGTGCATTTTATTCTATTTGGGAAAGCAATTCTGCTTTTCCATCCTTTTTTGAGAAATACTTGTGGAAGGTTGGAGGGGTATCGGATAAGACTGACCCATCGACATCTAGAATGGACCGCTGATGGCAATGGTGGGGGTAGAAAGACGATTAGAGTGAGAGGCAGG